TCCTCGTTTTAACCGCCGGGATTTATCTGGATTATGTTGGATGACGGCGAAAATCTTTTGTTTTGACCCGCTAGAGTGCTTTCCCGCGCGAAAGTTAAATATGGAGTTTGTAGACAAAGTCAAACCTTATCTTAATCTTTTTCAACATCCTCTTATTGTTGGTTTCATCTATTCATTTTATTTGAAATTCTGCATCTTTTAAATATTATCACATTCTCTAAATTTCATGCATTGTTCGAATCATTCTGCACTGAATCAGAGATTAAAGTTCTCTCGGCGAGACCTACTCTCACCCAGCGTGAGTGTAGTAACTACAGTTTATGTCTCTTCGAACGTTCTATATAAGTCCGAAGAAGACATTCGCGAGTAACGTCGATCATCGGAGCGCCAAGAGAGAGAAATCTCATTAGCGCGTTTACGTTTCTTGCTCAACATACCGGCACCAGACGGTTCCTTGACCTTTAGACCGCACGTATTTAGTAGCAACTGGTTGCAGTAGCAAGAATTAGCGATTAATCTTTTCGTTGGTGTTGCGACGAGAACGAGAGGAGAGGGTCAGCTAGTATACGCGAAGAGGAGGAGAAGAAAGCCGATAGGACGAGGTAGATACAAGGAAGAGGCACTAAACTGGTACCCTGGTAGGGACACGGAGAAAGAGAGAGGAACGAGAAATGGAGGAAAGAGCATGTAGAGGGAAGACTGCAGTTACGGACCAGACATTATGCAAACGACACAACAATTAGACCGTGGTCTTCCACAGGTTATTTAGTATTTAATATAAGTTACCCTTGGTTGGCCATATAATGGCCATCTTCACACATTCTACCGAGACTTTCCAACAGGTATTCGATTACCGAGTGGTCAGCGAATACTGTTTCCTTGGTTTACCTATCTCCAGTTCACCTAGATCTATTTACTAACTTACGAACAGAATTTGGGTCAGTTCAGTTAGATCTTGTTACTCGATGCAACTCAAAATATTGACAAGCTGTATTATATCTTCAGAAAACAATTGTGCACTGTCGTTAGGACAAGCTCTATCTAGGTTTCCCTACTCACAGTGTTTCTATATTTTCTATAGTTTCTCCAGAGTTTCTTTAGGCTTCATCTAGATTCTTCTCAGACTTAAACCCAACCCTTCACAGAGTTTTCCTACGGTCCGAGTCTCTCTAGACTCTCCCTGCAGTTCCTTAAATTTTTTTAAGCCTAACTTAGGCTCTGCCTAAGGTTCTAACGTTCCAGATTACGGTGCGACAATGCAACTGCGTGAAATATTAGCAGCGCTTTTTAGTTTCTATAGGTGATATATGAGTGAAAAAATGGCGCTAGATCACGAAAGCGGATTCTGTAGCTCGCGAGAAAGGTCGTCCGTCTTCCGTCTCGTTTGAGAGCAACAACGTGGCCTCTCATCGTTCTCCCTCAGTCATCTCGTCCAGTCACGTTTGCACGGTAGCCATTTGCGAGATTACGCCGAGGCGCTTGCTAGGCCGCTCATTAACGAGCGAACGAAAGAAGAGATTATCAACCGACTAAGCGTAACTAACAACAACGCGGGCCCGTCCAATTTGAGAAACGGCTAATTATACGCCGTGGAACGACCACGACGCGCTTTACCACTCTCTCTCTCTCCCTCTCTTTGTCAGCTGTCTCTCTTTCGCCGTGCGCAAGCCACTTTTTCGCGAGGCACGACTAATTACTCAGAACGACTTCGATCGCCACCGTTGTGACACCGTTGCCAACGCGAGATTAATTGCCATACGTGCCTCCGCGAAATTAATTGCGCTCCGGCGCGACGCTTCCTGTTATGTTGCCTGTTAACCTAGGTCCTCGCTACCGAAAATTACCGAACTATAATAATATACCGACAACATATCTTAATATTTTCATTAGAATATTCTCACCTTATTTCAGGGATCATTATTCTATTAAATGTTATGTCGTTTATGTCACGTGAAATAGCGACATCGGAAGTTTTTGTAACACGTGTACGAAACTTGAAATATTTTACTATTTAGATAAGAGGGTGTACACGTTGTACAACAATCGCACCAGGGTGTACTGCTATTTGGTATTCAAAGAAGTTATTTATTTTTTAGATAGGAATCTACCCTAAGATATCATTAATTCACTGTATAGTACCCATAGAACTATAGTATCTAATGTTGACTCCATGTGTCTTAATGGCGTCATTTTTTGTAAACTGCATTTTTTTTACTGGACAAAATTAATAGACGAAAACAAGAACGTCATGTAGTGGATGAGCGGGAAAACTGATTACGTATTCATACTCGCTATGACTCCGATTTTTCCGAGCCATTAAGCGGTTCTCGCCTGACCCGCAAAACGATGTCGCTCGAAACGAGGAACGACAGGTTGAGAATGATTACCGTGAACTTTGCATTTAATGGGACCTTCAAAACTTTACGCGATTAAAGCTTTAAAAAGTTTATAAACTTCGGGTGGAATTTTGGGAGCCAGGTACGAGAAACCGTATATGGTTTTTTTCCGAACAATATAGAATTTCTTGTCAAAATATTTCGAGGGTGGACCACACCCCTAATCGGTAACGGGAGACTTCCGAAACGGGAGACCCGCCCACCGTTCAATTTTAAATTGCTGTTCCTTGGACTGTGATTCCTATTCGTACAAAGATGTCAGAAGAATTGACTGTTTCATTAAGAACTGAATATAACCGGAAGAGGAGTTTAAAAACATGCATCAAAGTGGAAGAGATTTTTGTATTGGCCAGCGTTTCCATTGCGTCAGCAGGCGAAACGGTTTGCCATCAGGATTACGAAGGATTCCGCAAGGACGAGACGAGAGGCGTCCTTAACGAGCAGCTTTCCGACAGAATTGGTTGTTTTAACAACTGTGCGCCACTTTGAGCTCGCTAGGCAAGAGAGAAGCGGCATCGGGGGAAAAGGGTAGGAAGGAGGCAAAGGACGAGACGAGGGTGGTAAAGGTAGGGAGAAAATACGCGGTTTTCGCGAGGACACGGCGCAGAGGTACGGGAGCTACCGTAATAGTCCAATTTGCTGGCAAAGGAAAATACCGGAGGATTCTGGGAGGTAAAAGGAGACCTGGAACGGCCCCGGGGCTGCCACTAGCAACGCTCAGAAAAGACGGCTAGAAAATTGGAGACGCGGCGAAACACGGAGGGAGCCTTTTCCGTGGAGGACCTGTTTTCCACGAGGGCACCTACTTTTCCTTTAGACCCGGTTTACTGGCTGACGTGATGTCAATTATACATGGGCTCCTAAAAAGACCACTGCTAAAACTCTCTGATACCGTGCACCCTTCTTACACATTTCTCAGCAATTCTTTCCTCGTACGTTTCAAGCAATGACAAGGTGCTAAAGGTTCTTTGTGTTGGCAATTAAAAATATTAACACTAAACCTACCGGCGTATATGTACTTAATCTGAGATGAAATATGGAGTCAAAAAATAAATGAACAAATGACACAACAATTAATTCTTTATCTTGATGAAGATCAATGCAGATATCAGAACAATCAAAAAATTGTGTCATTTATAATAAGGATCTTGTGGAACGGTCATTTGACCGGTTTGGTAGTTTTAGTGTTAGGAATATCCACATAATTAAGTATAACATCCTCAGATACAATTTCTTAGTTTCACAAATCCATAATAATTAAATGAGAAAGTCACAAAAGAATTTATACAATACCACATTAAAAGAAAGCCACACACGTTCATACACGTAACTACCTGAATTAGAAATGTATTGATATGTGTTCGTGAAGTTAATTCATGAAATATTTGATCAAGAATAGCATTCGATATACGTCATTTCCTTGGAAATCTCGATGTTATAACGGGAGAGAAAACATCCGGCAGAGATTGCGAGCAAAGATTCCAGAGGAACGACGAGTTCGTCGCGTTACATTCCTGAACGATGATTTTCGTAGCTGCACATGGCGAACAGACGAAAGAGGGGTAGAAGGGAGAGCTAGATTTGATTCGTAGGGGGATAGAACAGATCGGGTATGGTGTCTGCCTCGACAGACACGGGGGAGATGGCGGCGTGCAACGCCGTAGCAAAGCAATATCCATAGGAACACCCCGTGTCAGAGGGAGAGATGCAGAGACGTGCAATCAATCACGAGGGACCCTGCTGCCACGTTCGTGGCCCTCGTATCAAACGTAACGCACGGTAAACATTTTTAACTTTGCCACGTTATTAATATTCGTTGCGCCACGGGAACCTCTCCACCACCCCCCAACGTGTACCCTGCCCTCCCCCTTCCACCCTGAGCTTCGCGTTTTTGTTAATCAATTTGCCGCCGAAAGTAATCGTGGAATGAATATTGTTTACCTGTACCTCGTTACTTGAGTGCGATAAAATTCCTCGAATTTTACAAGAGGGGTTTGGAATTTGGAACGAGTGGCAATTTGTAAGTTTTAGTATTTGAGCAGTTGGAAATGTGGGAGTCTAGCAAATTGATTATTGAGAACTTGGAGCTTTGGCGATATAGAAATTTGGGAATTGAGACTTTTGGAAATTTTAGAGTTTGAGAATATAGAATATGGTAACTTAAAAATTTGAAAATTTGAGAATTTGAGTATTTGAGTATTTAAAAATTTGGAAATATAGAATCTCTCACTAAACGATAGCCTATGAAAAAAGATTCCTTACCTACTAAAAGAACCCTAAAATGATTCCACCCCTAAAGTCACAAACAACGCAACGAGTGTGTTCTTTTTTATTTTCAGTCGTTAAATACACTCACGATGTATTTTATTCATTTTTAAAAATAAACTAAGCTGACAAAATTTGTTGTCTTCGTGGACAGAATATCCGAAACGAGGAATGCAATCGATATTAATTGCGGTAACGCGATATCGTACGTGCGCTTTTAATTACGTGGCCGACATGCTCGCCAGGATCACATTAGACGTAATGCACGGGAAATGTTTTTTAACTCTGCCGTGTTATTAATATTCGTTAGAGCTCCCAACCCGCCTGTTCCTCTGTGTTCACCTTTTTGTTGCGTTAACGCGCATTCCAGCCCGCTAATCGCAATAATGGAAATTAATAATCGGTCTGTCGTTAACATCGTCGCCACCGAAAATTAAAATCGTGTGTTGAAATGCGTTTCGATCGAACTGATTCTGTGAACGATTTCTAATTAAAATTGCACCATTAATTCGACAGAAAATAAAGAGCTTAAGTTAGGTTAGGAAAAAAGTTAGGTTAGGATAACCTACTGTTTTTATATTATAGAAGTTGTACTTCAATATTGATTAAAGTTTACTCACTGCTAGCACGTTTTTTTCTAAATCTATTAATTTTAAATAGAATATCTCAAAATTAAATATTTTAGAATAAAATCAAGCAAATAAAATGTAAGTTAGCTATCAAACTTAAGAAGCAGTGCTGACTTCCTTACTTTTATCAAACAAGAATCTTCATCATATGTGAAATAATAACGACAGAAAACAGAATTTAAGTGAAAGAGAACTTGACTAAAGTTCTAAACAAAAATTGTCATTTTGTGTTTCAGACCAATATATCAGGAAATTCTGGCAATGATTCGAACTGGAAGCTCTTGAAATTTCCTTCAATTACCGACACACTGGCAGAGCTTGTAGCTGTCGAGAGCGTTTAACAAGGACCACGTGTGTAAGACAATTCTCGACGGTTGTTACGGTCCGAGGATCGTTGCACGAGCAACGACAAACAACAACAGGATTCAGCTGCCGCTGTTTCTGCCCACGCAACGGCCAACAAATGTCAGAACTGTAATCCGGATGAAATTAAAGCGCGGAATTAGCACTGTCAGGTAAATAAGCGAACGCGACGATTCTTGCTAACCAAAGTGCCAGCTTTCTGTCGCGAGAAAAATAGATTTTCACACTTCCCTTTCTCTATTTGCATTTTTCTTGCATCAAGTTTCTGCGAACTTTGTTGAGGATGCACGTGGAAAACTTTGGTGCTGATTATTTATTAGGTGAATGGGTGGAGAGATTGAGGTTGGATGTTCGCAAATTTCCAAGTTTCTAAATTTTCTAATTACCAAATTTCCGAGTTCCCAAATTTTCAAATTTCTAAATTTCCAAATTTCCAGGTTTCCAAATCTCGAAATCTCCAAATTTCCAAATTTCCAGATTCCCAGGTTTCCAAATCCCCTAATTCCCAAATTTCCAGGTTTCCAAATTCCCAAATCCCCAAATTCTCAAATTCCCAAATTCCCAAATTCCCAAATTCCCAAATTTCTAAATTTCCAAATTCCCAGGTTTCCAAATTTCCAAATTCCCAAATTCTCAAATTCCCATATCCCCAAATTTCTAAATTTCCAAATTCCCAAATTTCCAAATTCCCAGGTTTCCAAATTTCCAAATCTCCAAATTTCCAAATTCCCAAATTTCCAACTTCCCAAATTTCCAAATTTCCAAATCTCCAAATTTCCAAATTCCCAAATTCCCAAATTTCCAACTTCCCAAATTTCCAAATTTCCAAATTCCCAAATTTCCAAATTTCCACATCCCCAAATTCTCATATTCTCAAATTCCCACATCCTTAAATTTCTAAATTCCAGAACTCCCAAATTTCCAAATGACCAAATCCACAATTTTCTAATGTCCCAAATTTTTAAACTTCCCAACATCCAAATCACCAAACTCTGAAGTCGTCAAACATCCAACACCCAAAATTGCTATCTCCATAAATCCTCTGAGAACGACCCCTGAACCGGAACAGACTTCGCATTAATATTCATGCAAAGTACGAAATAAATTCAAAAATCCTTCCACTCGGACAATCAATAATATTCAGTTCACAGAGCGCAGCACTCTAAGATCTTCGCGAAGAAGAGGAAGCAAAGCGGTCGTCAGAAGGGCAGTTGAGATCTCGCCAAAGGGTGATTAATGAACACGGAAGAAGAAGAAGAAGAAGAAGAAGAAGATGAAGACGAAGAAGAAGAAGTCGAAGATTCGGCCGCTGTCAGCTGGAACACGAGATCGTCCGGAGGAATATTCTTTTTAGTCCGGTCATAAATCCGCGCGGCGAAATTCGCCGGTTGAACGAGCCGCGAGCGCGATTAAATATTAACTACGTGGCCGATTATGTAATTAAAAGGGTATTCGTAGTAATTGGGAGGACGGGGGCTTAACGAGCTTTCTAAAATTTCCGAAGATAATTGCGCGTGCAGCCCGCGTGATTATCGGCGGTTCGCTAATTACGGGCTAACGCGGATCGTTTCTCTTTTCCAGCTATTACGCTCCAAGTCGCCGCTCCTCGCCGCGGAAACTGGCAAACGCCTCCACCGGATCCCGGAACTTCCTTATCTTGCTTTTCGACTTTCCCTTCGAAACAGGAACTAACATCGAGAACTTTGTTGCCCAAACTTTGCACCCCGTTTTCGCATCGATACGCACCATCTACCCTCTTGCATGGAATCTCTAATTGTTTCTACGAGCAAAATTATTCGAGTCGCTTTCTACGATTTTGCTGGGCAAATATTTACGGTTGATCAGAAAATCGGATTCGATAAAATAAAACAATCGGGTGAATATAGAACGCGAACAATGCAGATTGAGTTATAGACGGGACCATTTAATGCAGTCATTAAGGAATCATTAATCTTCCTCCTTAGTGTGCATGACAACGGAGTCATTGTTGGAACAGGTGCTACTTAGGAGGCTGAGATCATTAGCCGAATAAATGGAATCAGCCCTGCGCGGAATAAAAGAATCGATGATAGGAATCTTAACGGGGAACGAACCGTGGCGTTTCTATAATTGCGGCAATTAAGTGAAGTCAAAGTGCGAATAAAAACTCTGTATCATCGGTTTTGACCATAGCTAATAACTTCAATTTTAAATATTATCTGTAATCAGGATTTTTGGGAAGGTAACTCTGCTTAGACACTTGTGGAATTAATTATAGTATGTTTTACATTTATGTTTTTAATGTGTTACATATATTTTATTCATACACATACTCCAAACTTGATGAGTTACATGATACAATATAGATATTTTATGTTTTTAAGAAAACTTGTGTAACTTGAAATAGTCGACATGTAAAATAAAGGCAAGTGCAATTTAATTATTAAGATTTTATGATCTCGACTAAAGATATCGCACGTGAACTAAAACTACTGTATCTAAAGAATTGTAAATGAATTTTTATTTAAATTTGTGAGGTTATTTTTACAATATAATGGTAAGAGTGCTATATGAATGAGGTTGGTAAGAGTGCTGAGTGAGTGAAGTTGGTATGAATATAAAAGAAGCGAGAATCAGAGATTGCCAGGGTTGGAACAGAGTTTGAATAAGAAAAATGTCCCATTAATATTAAATAAAACAAACTAAATTATATCTCTAACTATTAAATATATATTAAATATATAAAAAGAAGTCTTCAATATATTTCCCCACAAAATAGTACTTGCAACGTTACTTGCACAGAAATAAAAATAAAAATGTCCGACTCCGACAGACGTAGCCGTGAAAGGATTGAATCGTTGCCGCAAAGAAAATGGAGCTCGTTGAATTCGAAGAGGAGAAACAAGAGTGTGATCGCGTAAGAAACGCCGAAAATATTCGCTGTAGGAACATAAACGGTCGTCGTTTGTCAAACAGACGACTCAATGTCTGGCGTAACTCGCGTCAGGCCGCGCGAGGAATCCGCAAGATGCGCGATAAACGACGGAATCGAAAGGCAAATAAACGCTTTGCGGCGCCGCGAGCGAAACGCCCGATGAATGGCACGCTTGATCGATGCGAGGATCTTCGAAACTGGCCTTGCTATATAACCGAGATACGAAACAATGCTTTCATGCGCCGGAAATTGGATTCGAGAGGCAAGATTAATTAATCCATGGACAAGCTTCTGCGGTTGTTAATCTTCCTAATTATCCTCGTGATTGAACCTTTTCTCTTTATTCAATCGAATCCAAGATGGCGGATAAGGATCTTCTTTTATACACTAGTTATTTCAATTTTGCTTACTTCTTTTGGGCTGATATTTTGTATTTGGAGATCTGATATTGCAGAGCTGAAGATTACTGTTTTAGGGGTAGAAGTACTAGAGTTATTTGGTATAGCAAAGACAGAGCTATTTCATGAAATTATGAGAAGGATACTTTTTTATCTGACACCTGGTTATGCACAATGTTGTATAAGTATAGTAATCCTGTAGATTATAGATACTTATTTAGGAATAATAAGCTCGGAATTATTTTTGTTCGGTAGAGTCTACAGCCACATGTAAACCTAAAGCTACATCTAGTCCTAGAGCCATTTTGTTTAGAATAGAACTATTTTATCTAAACACACATTTTTACATAGCCTACAATTTCACACTCGCACATTCCAAGCATCTACCTTCTGTTACATCATTTATCAACTTCAAAATTTCCATATTTTAATTTTTACGAAAGAACTAAAGCTCCAAACTAAAATTATTGAACTTCTATCTAGTCATTTATAGAGAGGCATCGGTGCAAAAAAAATTTGTGCAATAAATTGTGAGTTATCAAGATTCGATTTAAAATATAGTTTCGAAATGAGGTTAAGAAGTTGTCATTAATTATCGAAAGCAAAAGAATAAGCAGAAAGGTGATTGTAAGAATCGTTCAACATTACCGCGTTATTTAATTAAAATTGCAGCACGTGAAGTATATTCAATCTGCGCCGTAAAATATTGTTACTTATCAGCCGCCTTGTTATATTAATTTACCGTATCATTATCTACTGACCTTTAAATCATGAACGATCAGAAGAGTCGTCTGTTTCGTTAAATTATACTATATTACCGGTTATCTTCAGAGCGCTATAATTTATACTACTATTAATTATCAGCCTTATTAGACTTTATTTATGCTTTCTTTGAATCACTGTAATAAACTATGAACGCTAATAACGTCTGCTATTTTCCTCCTAACGCGAGAAATACTTTCTTAGGTACATTTCTTTGAAAATCTTTTAAATTCGATTCCTCGCCAGTTGTCGAAAATTGAGCAGCTTCCAGGGGATGATGGTATAGAATTATTGCAACAATACACCGGGTATAATAATATAGAATTATTGAGGACGATGTAGATAATGATATGGAATTATTGCAACAATAATAGACGATGTAGATGATGGTATAGAATTACTGCAACAAATATAAGAAGTAACTTTGTGCCAATACGGTAAGCTATAAAATTATTCGATTGTAAGCTCTTCAATTTGCGCGTAGAGCTACTAAACAGATTATTTTATTTCGAAGTAGCAGATTTACTTAGGGAAATGGGAACTAAATATACAGCTGGAAAACCAGAAACTAGGCACTTCAGATTTTGGAACACTTGATTTATTTTTATCTAAGAATAGCGTCTAGAGCTATTTTTATGTGGCAGTCTAGACCCATTTTTCCCAGCTATGGTTGTTTCATCCAGATGTGGTAAATCTGGAGCTACTTTACCTAAAATGTATAGAATGTATTTTACCTAAAATGTGGCTATAGTAGAGCTTCTTGATTATAGAGCTTATAGAATTAGTACGGAAGAGAAAATTATTTAAAAAATAAGAAATCTCTGACCTGCAAAAATACCTAACATCGCGAAAAAATTTTGAAGAAGATACAGAACAGAGAGTTGTCCAAATAAAGTAATAGTGGCAAGATGAGAAAAGAAATTGTTGAATCAGTCAACCGATAACTGGTTAAAAACCGAAAAGGAAAGAAAATAGAGAAGAAATGTGTTGCACCTGCGCGAAAATTTATGCGTCGCGTACAAGTCACGCGTATCGTTTCTTGTAATAAATTACATGCATACTTGATGGAACGAGATATTTATTCGAGAAGGCCGTAACCATAACGAACCGTGCGAGCTCATTTTCACACAATACACTATTTACTTCATTTCAACTAATAATTAACACCGGGATAGTAACTAATACCACACTTTAAGCTTTAATAACCTCGTGAATTAATTTAAATGAACACTTAAGCCTCTAGCAACCCATCATCTATCGTCACTTCACATATATTCAATTTGCATCAGATCAAATCGACCGATCTAGAAACTTCACGTTGCCAGACATTGTTGTGGCTGGCTTTATTAGGTTAAAAAGGTATTTTGCATCAATTTGTTAGAACTAGAGATGCTCGTTTATCACGGAAAGCTGTTTTACTGAATATATTCGAATTTTTATATGAACTCGAGGAAATTGGTTTTTAACTTGATGGGTGGAAGATTGGGGATGGACGGATTTCTGATAATGGTATTTGGATCAATGGGGAGGTTATTTCTAAGTATGCTAATTCTCAAATACCTAGGTCTTCAAATTTCCACATCCCCAAATTTCTAAATTTTCAAATTCCTACGTCCCCAAATTTGTAGATTCTGAAATTTCTACACCCCCAAATTCTAAAACTTCCCAAATTCCTACGCTCCCAAATTTCCACGCACCCAAATTCCTACGCTCCCAAATTCTCACATCCCGAAATTCCCCAAATTCCCACATTCCTGAATTCCCAAATCCCTAAATTTCCACGTCCCCAAATTCCCATATCCCCAAATTTCCACGTCCCCAAATTCCCACATTCCCAAATTCTCACATCCCCAAATTCCCTTATCCCCAAATTCTCACATCCCCAAATTTCTAAACTCCTAAATTTCTACACCCCCAAATTCCAAAAATTCCCAAATTCCTACGCTCCCAAATTTCCACGCACCCAAATTCCTACGCTCCCAAATTCTCACATCCCGAAATTCCTAGATTCTGAAATTCCTAAACTCCTAAATTTCCACACCCCCAAATTCCAAAAATTCCCAATTTCCTACGCTCCCAAATTTCCACGCACCCAAATTCCTACGCTCTCAAATTTCCATGCTCCCAAATTCTCACATCCCCAAATTCCCACATCTCCCAATTCCTAGATTCTGAAATTCCTAAACTCCTAAATTCCTACATCCCCAAATTCCTAAATTCCCAAATTCTTGCACCCCCAAATTTCTAAACTCCCAGAGTCCTAACTCTCCAAATTCCCGAAACTCCAAATTTCTTTCCCCCTAAAATATCAAAATTCCTACCCCAAATTATCGAATACACTCTCCTCCAAATTTCACTACACAAAAAATTTTATCTCGAATTACCTCCTGATTTTTCACACGAAAACTACATACTGTAATCTGTAAGAAAGCGACATATTCGTGCAAGGAAAATGTAAACTACTTTCGAAATAAATTTTGTAGATAGTAATAGTTTGTACCACTTTGACGGATTATTCCGTCATCCGACGCAAAGCAGTTGAAGCGAAACCGCGTTGCAAAGAAATATTAATCTTGTCAATCATGATTAATACCTGGCTCTAGATTTACAAGTTTCGACTATTCTTTCGGGAGAAATTATGGCTTGACTATCGGTTATTTCGTGTTAACTTTGAAAAGGTTTCGGATAAAATTGCATAACTACAAACTTTTTGAGTTATAAAAACATGCTAAAGTGATTAGAATATTGAATGTTGCAATTGTTTATGATAAAGTAGTACAAAAAATGGGATATTTTTGTGGTTAACTCGTTGAATTCCATGTCGAATTTATTGTCAGTGACAAAAATTACTAGGATTAGATAAAAAATTTTTACAAGGATTAATTCTTAGAAAAATTGACATGGTTTTTGTTTGTATTACTCCTTGACTTTATTTCTTTGCAATTTGTGTCAGAATTAAACAAAATGTAGCTAAATTACTAGCATGCTTCTGATGAACATTATAATCCATACATTCTTAAAAAACTTTTTAACAATTGCCAAATTTAACTTTAACTACCATACCATAAATTATTTATGGCTCAAAGAATTGTTTTTCGAAATTTATTAAAAGTAGAATCACTTTAACAAGACTTCAAACAATTGCAAAAACAGTTCTTCAAAATTTTGCCTGTTCTTTCAGCTTGAATATCCAAAGATATTTTGCTGAAATTCTTAATTGCGACCACAAAATAAACTGCACCCTAAAATTGAATGCATGAAGCTATTTATTCAGTGTCTTAATTTCGAGTCACATTTGCGTAACTCGAGAAAATCTTTGGAGAATGACTTTACGATTCGAGATACACCCTCAGGTCTGTTTCCGGGGTCGAAGAAAACCGACATTGTTCCAGTGCGAGTAGCACACGTGTTTCCTTCAAAACTGGAGCAATTTATGGGGCCCGAAAATCGTCGCAATATTCGACCCAAGGTACCGCCAACATCTGGCTTTTTTCTTGCAAACTTGGTCAATGGTAAATGTCTTTGTGGAACGGATTTTGTGAGCTTGGCAGGCAAATTAGAATTTATGCTGGCAATAGAAAACCTGCTTTAACGTTTGCGAGGGAAAATCGAAATCTTTATGGTACCTTATGTAATATTGGCTTATTGCGATCACGTGTCTTTAGAATTTTATTATATGTACAAGAAAATATTATTATATTGTTTCATTATAGTAGTAGTCGTTGGTATTGTTAATACATTAGCTTGATTTAATTTTATTTTGATGTTTGAGATCATGAGACTATATCTTTAACTTTGTTTATTATAGTACTGACATGTAAATGTAAAATATAAATAGAAGACTGTAATTTTTTCATGTGGGGAGTAAACAGAAATTCACTCCTTTTGTGCAAGAAACACTTGATAATATTTGTAATATTTTATGTAAGAAACAATTGACAGAAAGGATACTTGTATCAGATAGTACATTGACATTGTAAAAAATGGTTATAAAACGACTACTATCTAAGACACAAATAAAATACAAATAACGAAAATTCTATAATCTATAGAATCAAAATTATATACTATATTATATGTAAACTTGCAGTGTAATTTATATTCCAAATCGCGTTCAAAAGTTAACATAATTGCGTATTAAAAGAACCGTAATAAACACAACTCGTTACAATGTCTCTAAAGAGCTTTTCCCCTATCTCTTAACAATCACTTTCCTACGAACGCCAATCTCGACAAATTATATATCTTGAATAACCTCTGAATTGCATTTTGCGCGAATATTAGCGATAATTACATTTTACCGAGAAAACGTTCGATCGCGAAGTATTTCCCGTCGCTGGCTTCGTTTTAAGAGCAGAGACACGGTAAAGAAATAGCATGCAATGGCAAAAAGTACTTACCGTTTTCGCAGAAGATGGCTCGAGCAGGGCAGACGGCACGAACTCGCGTCACGGCAGGCTGCTTCCTCGTCCGACGTGAGACGTAAACTGGCTCGTCGACCGTGGCGAACTCGTGTTTCTAAGCTAATCCACAAAAACTGTTTATTGCTCGAACTCGATCGAATACGACTCTTCCGGATACGCAGCGATGACAATTCTTGATAGCCACGCAATTGGCGAAACAAGACGTTTCCTAGCTTTAACTCGTTCGCCGTCTCACTTAACCGGCTGCCATTTTTATTGGATAGCGTTATTTTGAATAAATCTTACCGATTATTTGCACAGTATTTTCTATTCAATTTTTTTTCATTTTGTATTCAATATTTATACTTCCAACAATTCTTTTAATTATAGGTAAACAGATTCTTAATAATGTTGATGTGGACGAACTCTTAATAATATGGATGTTTAAGTGTTAGTCATATGTGGATGATGTACAAAATGTTAAATGAACTTGTAAATTAAATAATTTTTGAGGTATCTCAGGTTAAATATTTTTTTACGTTCTCTCTAATTATATTCAAAGACAAAACTAAGGGTGGTAATTTTACCTTTTGCGAATGTTTTACATCATCGAAAAATTGCAAACTTAACCTCTTACGTATTTAACCCTACCAAAGACATTCGATATGTCGCTCTTTAGGTCATAATCTTGAATCAGTAATAATTCTGAAATTCTTCCTGGAGTATTAATAAAGTTATACCCTATTTGATAATGTGTTTTGCGGATTTTTACTGTATAAGCTATAAGTGACTCAACCCTTAACTGCCATCACTCGAACACGTAATAAGTATACTATGTTTGTAATGTACAAATAATATTTCTTCATTATCTCTAGTTTTATTTAATTTAAGTCGTATGGAATTTTTGTAGGGTCAAATTTAACCAAATATATTATGGTACTTAAAGGTTGAAAGTATTTTTATTGATCTATAAGTTAATACAATTTTTGAAAACTTCATGAAAGTAGTCGAGGGAAATTTTTGTTATAATTATGAAAAATTTCCTCGCTAATAATTGTCTGTCTTATCTGAAAATTTGTGAAACTGTCAACAGACTTCAAATATAGAAATTGTAACTATTCCACATTACGAAATATGCTGTGTAAACTTCCTCGTACAGATAGTATCAATAAAATTGCACGAGTACTTTATTTCCGAGAGAATAAAAGCTTGAGAAGAAATAAAACAAATGTGTTCTACATTTACAACTTTTGTAGCTATCACTTTATTTTCACTTGATCAGTTACGTGGTGTCAGAGTTACATATTACATAAAATAATCTTGAGACGAAAGTTTCAAATACAATAAAAACATTCGTTCGAGTCTTGTAAAATTTTATTTTTGTATTACTGAAACTTGAAATTATTTGAGTTCTTATTTGACATAAAAATTGATTCTAATAGAATTTATTTCTTGTTTCATAAATATCTCTGTTCAAAATTTTAGTTTGATAAAATCATTTGAAATTTTCTGGAGTCTATTTACGATAATACATCTTAATATTTACATGAATGTCATTTATACTATTCTTACATCTTCTAAACAATTTTCTGTTTGTTTTAGGGTAGATTTGTGTTTATACTTCAGTCAAATTCTACTACTTTTCCCCTGTAACTAAAGTATTCTATGTGACATACTCTGCTACTACTTTCTATCTACAACCATCCACTTCAAAATATCCCAACAAAACACGATCAATTTAACACCAACGTGCAAATATCAGATTAGGAACTAAACCCATTAACGCTTTAACGGCCAATGTCACATTACGATCATCTTACTCCACTTCAATACAGTTATCAATGGCAACGTACAAACCAGTAATTTAATAGGTTCTAGACCCGAATAGGCTAATAGAATTACAAAGATCGTAGATACCAAAGCTGCCGGGCATTCAGGTACTTTCTATCTTGTTTTCAACTCAATTGCTTCTAAACAGACCAAATCGGTCTCTAAAAAAACCCTTAGAACTCTCGCAAGACACAATCTACCCCAAAACGCAGGCTCAAAATCGAGTTACCTGTGGGTCCAAGATGTCCGCTCGTCCTCTTCGATCGGGTGGTTGAAAAATCGTGGAACCTTTCGAGTCATGGGGAGACCAAAAGGGGCCCGTAGTCGCGAATCGAACAATATCTCGGTAAGATAAGGGAAAACGGGTTCTGTCGAGAGTCGTCGTGGAAAAAATCGATCGGTCGCGTTCGCGGTTCGGCCACGAAGAGGGCAGCACCTCACCGTGCAATTTCGCGTCGGCGGGGCAACCATCGATGGCCGCGTTTTTGTTGTACTTGTTCTCTGCCCTTTTTTTTTCGTCTTTTTTCCTTGTTTTTTTGGTTCGTTCGCCCCTCTATTCTCTCGTAGTTGGCAGATTAGGCTAATGCGATGGACCAGATGAGAAATTATTTGAGTTCTTATTTGACATAAAAATTGATTCTAATAGAATTTATTTCTTGTTTCATAAATATCTCTGTTCAAAATTTTAGTTTGATAAAATCATTTGAAATTTTCTGGAGTCTATTTACGATAATACATCTTAATATTTACATGAATGTCATTTATACTATTCTTACATCTTCTAAACAATTTTCTGTTTGTTTTAGGGTAGATTTGTGTTTATACTTCAGTCAAATTCTACTACTTTTCCCCTGTAACTAAAGTATTCTATGTGACATACTCTGCTACTACTTTCTATCTACAACCATCCACTTCAAAATATCCCAACAAAACACGATCAATTTAACACCAACGTGCAAATATCAGATTAGGAACTAAACCCATTAACGCTTTAACGGCCAATGTCACATTACGATCATCTTACTCCACTTCAATACAGTTATCAATGGCAACGTACAAACCAGTAATTTAATAGGTTCTAGACCCGAATAGGCTAATAGAATTACAAAGATCGTAGATACCAAAGCTGCCGGGCATTCAGGTACTTTCTATCTTGTTTTCAACTCAATTGCTTCTAAACAGACCAAATCGGTCTCTAAAAAAACCCTTAGAACTCTCGCAAGACACAATCTACCCCAAAACGCAGGCTCAAAATCGAGTTACCTGTGGGTCCAAGATGTCCGCTCGTCCTCTTCGATCGGGTGGTTGAAAAATCGTGGAACCTTTCGAGTCATGGGGAGACCAAAAGGGGCCCGTAGTCGCGAATCGAACAATATCTCGGTAAGATAAGGGAAAACGGGTTCTGTCGAGAGTCGTCGTGGAAAAAATCGATCGGTCGCGTTCGCGGTTCGGCCACGAAGAGGGCAGCACCTCACCGTGCAATTTCGCGTCGGCGGGGCAACCATCGATGGCCGCGTTTTTGTTGTACTTGTTCTCTGCCCTTTTTTTTTCGTCTTTTTTCCTTGTTTTTTTGGTTCGTTCGCCCCTCTATTCTCTCGTAGTTGGCAGATTAGGCTAATGCGATGGACCAGATGAGATATGGGCCAACGAATCGGAGCACGGTGCTGGCAGGGCAGGGGCGTGACTGTACCCTGGATACGGTCGTGCCCCGGGCCACAGTCACGACGTGAACTAAGTGCTGGGTGGAGCCCCGTCTAGGCACTACCTACTCGATGGAACCATCATCCTCTCCCTCGAATGTCACGACACGGGCTAACCTAATGGCTGCCAGCTACCTCGAAAACGGCGCCAGTTTTCAAACGATCTCGCGACGATCCCTGCGACCTAACTCCATTTCGTTTCATGGTTTCGTTGTCTGTTTCGTATCAGCCGTTGTATTCGACTCTCATTGCGATCAAGAGTGTGGTGAACAAGTACTCATGAATTTTTCAAAACTGTTACTCTATTTAATAATGATCTATCTGGTAATGATCGGTGATGATGTTTGAATGTATGACACGTGCAGTATACACTGCAATATATGTTAACAGTGCTGGTAGATGGAACAGAATTTTATAGTATGTGTTAAATTTTTTAATATATTTTGTCAAATATTCATAGAAGATATAAATATATTTATGGAAAAACTTGACTGATAGAATTTACAAAAATTTACTGATTAATGAATATGACTAAATGTCTGAGATGTGTACTACAATTGGCACTGAATAGAATTTATTCCCTAATTTATTTCATCAAAACACGATACAGTTATTAAAAATATATGATGGTACATTGGAGTACTTATTATTTAATGATTGATAGTGTTTACTAGTAATTAAGATTTATTAATACCAATTTTATTTCGTAATGGCAATGATATTTATAAATTAACTGGTCATTAAATTAATCGAATTACAAGTTCGATTTAATTAAATTTACTTTATGATAATATTCCTTTTGTCTGTACTCGATAATGACGTAGTACGATGCAGATTATTATTCGGAATTAAACTGTTCTTAATTTAAATATCTTATCTGATGTATCTAATTAATTGCCGCATTAATAATATATTTGTTGCTCGTGTGTTCCAAGAAATTATACGGTTTTAATTATCGCGAAATGATAACTATTCTTTTAAACTTACAAATAAGAACAGCTCAAATGGAATGATAAAATTGCACTTTTTAGAGCATTTCGAAGCAATAATTAGTATGATTTATCCGATGAAAGCAGTATAACCTGTTTCGACTTTTAAGAGTTGTATTTAATTCATTTTGTAATTTATACAGAATATTCTACTTTGTGTAGATTTTTTCACTTCTTCCAGCACTGTATCAGAATTTAGTGTCATTTCATTGTCAATTTTGGCAAACAACACTATGGCCACACCCTTAATCACTTTCCTTGAAAAATGATAGTCTGCAGATTGTTCAAACTTAAAGCACATGGTCTAGTCTTGGTCCCACCCCTAATCATTAGATGTTCGGTCACAGTGTTGATGCACGATGCCAGAATGTTGCCAGGATTTGCCGATGTTTGGAAAGTTGCTACTTGGTACATCACCTGGAACAGTTAAAACACTCGTTATTCAATTTGTCTTTACACATTGTAATATCTTAACAATTTATGAGAATATGACCATGATACACGATTACTTTCCGAAGTAAATTTTTCTTTTGCAAATTCTCTTTATTTGGATACGTCAACTGCTACAGTCATGATCATGAGATGTGCAATAAATGCAATTACACAAGATGCACTAGTTTTATTTTTCGCAGAATTCTTATGTTAACATATTATATTAAATTTTTTTTAAAAAACAATAAGAATCACTGCTCCATAAAAAGGGGTTAAACTTCATCCTCGAGTGAACACAGACTGATGACACGAAAGAAAGAGTACACATAGACAAATGATTAGATGAATGAAAGTAAGTAAGTAAGAATCCATCATCTCTATTTATAATACAATTCATCAGAAATACTTGATTGTTGATATTTGATCAAAGTTGCGTTAAAGGAACGAATGGAATATCATTGAAATATCACTCGATAAAAGCGAAAGCGACAGATATTTATTCTATAGAGTGTCAATCCGTATTAAATAAAATAAACGAACAAACAAAAACTTGTACACAACCGAATAAAAGATGAATAAAACGTATAAATATCGTACAGTATGCATAGCTCGTTCAAATACCGTCTCTTCCGAAAACAAAAGCCGTATCGAAACGAGAGAAAAAAGTGGCACGTTCGTACCTCGTGGAAGCAGTTTTCAGTCGATCGGGCTTCACCGGGCATTTTTTACGTCTATTTGCCCGTTTCAATTCCCCGTTCGAGGCCGCTCCTCATCCATCTGCCTACCGATATATTCGTCCGCGTGCATATCTCCCGACCACTTTTCAATTTCGTTCCAACGAATTTCCGCTTCCTGTTCTACCCATCTACTCGTGCACGTGCAATTCTCCAAAACATCGATCCATGCGGTTTTACTTATTTAACGAGTTTTCCAAGGTCGAGGCGCATCAAACGTCCACCGAGGGTGAAGAGGAGAAAACGGGGGTTGAAAGCTGGACGAGACGAAATTTCCAACGTGCCAGGGACTGACCCGTCTCCCTCTCAGGGGAATACACCGGTGTCATCGGAATATACGGCTAATTGCGAGGATGTTTTGTTTGCCTGTCGGAACTCGAGACCATCTCCCCTTACAAGCTTTTGCATTTAGCCTTTCCGTATCGACGACGCGTACAGAGCACGAAACTCCGCGAACCTGAGGGTGGTTGACGAGGAAACCACCCCTCGACTGCTAACTTTGCTTTAACGGGATAATAGCAGAACCTGCAACTTGCTTTTCCAACGGAATTCGGAATGATTTCCATGCGAGACATGCCATAACTGATTATCCTGTCGTGTTCAGAAAAGAATTTCATATGACGCTGAAGGGAACTAATGTAGAAGTTATTGGATAATATGTTATGTCTACACTTCTAGATCTTTATACATGTAATTGTATTTTTGGATTTTTATGTTCTTACGTTTTGAAATCTTTAGATAAACTCTAGATGTCTAAGACATGGCTAGATGTCCTCTAGACATCTGCATCCATAGACACTTCTGGATCTATATCCATAGAGTGGATCCTCATATTCTTAGAGTCCTATGTCCTTACACATAGGTACCTATATCCTTAGATTTCTGTACCCTACATCCTTACGTTATTACAGTAGCTCTATAATTCACGGGAAGTGCTAAACTATTCCAATTATAGATGTTCGAATTATCGAGATGCGATGATATACTCCCACATTCTGAGATACCTATATTTTCAGAAGACTATATTTCTATATCCCTACATCCCTGCTCCAGGTGCCTTACCTTTACTATCAAATGTCAACTGAGTAATATAAACATCACATTTTATGTGTTTAACATTTCATCCTATGATGTGGAGGACCATCCCCCACCTATTATCTGGACATCATGAAATGAGCTGCAGAAGTGAAAAGAGCTTTCCTTATTTTTCGAACCATATGTACAACATGCATAAACTATTTCTGCCAAAAATATTTTCAAGGCTTGTAATTCTGTCTGATTCACCCGATCGCCCTATTTCTTTCAGTACCTCATCTCACAGCACAGTGATTATTATATCGAGAAGGTTGAACCAGTCCAAGGTAGCAGATTGGCTCGAACGATAAAGTAACCGCCCCGATAGCATCGAGTTGCCCGCGAGCCGATATTTTACCATAATTTCTCGGTGTTTTGTCGAAGAGCGACCGATTGATTCGTTAATTAAGTCGTGGAAATAGTTTCGCACGCGCGGTTGCGACAGGACGTATTAATCGTCGAACATCGGAGGTCATATATTGTTTGTGACGCTTTAGACGCGAACATTGATTGCGAGAGAGACGCCGGCGTCGCTCGGCGGTTTGCGGAGGAGAGACGGTGTGCTCGGCCAGGAGGACGAGGGTGTCCCGGGGGAGGACGGAAGTAGAGGGAGCGGCGATATTATTGATTTATGTCCCGTTCTACGTTATGTATTCTAG